TGATGATATCACAATAAAAGTGAAATGTAAGACACTCGCAAAATGGATCCCACTTCCTTGTGAGTGTGTGTGTGTATGTGCGTGTGTGTATATTATATCTATATCATGTATAAATCTGAACTCAGCAACGAAACAACTTAAACCTCAGAACGGGAAGGCTAAAGGTAAAATCAGACACGCAGTACAGATGAATATATGTTGTTGTCATCGGGGGAGTAAAAAGAAAAAGATCAACACATCCGAAGTTCAACTTGACCGATGGGAACTGTACGGAAGAAGAAGAAGAGGTGCTGGTACCCGAGAAAAAAATCTTAACCGAAGATCAACTCAAGCTAGTTCAATACAAGCGGAGGCGACTGTTTTAGTTTCAGTAGAGGTTTTACGGTGCTCGCAACTGCATTAGGTCATATAAGCACCAGAAGATTAGAGGTGTTACAAGAGAGTAACAAACAAACAACAACAACAAAAGAACAAGAAGAGATAATAAGGATAGATGTTTCATAGGAAAAAAGAAGCAAACCACACCAGAGCACCCGCCAACCACCCACGGAGGCGACTGTAGTTGGGTCATCAGGGTTAGAGAAATGAAGGTGGCGAGCGCCTCATTGAATTCGAGTCTTTCACGATGGCAACGTTCGTCTGTTGGTGTCCCACTCGCTGTTGCGCTTCCATATTTCCACGCTCTGTTTTCGATGATTTACTTCATCAAGTTGTAGACAGAAGTTGGTCATATGGGGGGTTCTCGTGGTCTTGAGGGGTGTTCGCCTCTTATTCATCAATAGACTAGGTCCCGGGTTCGAATCTGGATAGCGATTGAAAAATTTTCTTCTTTAAAATGTTCTCCTTTCACACCCTTTCCTGATCTCTAACAATGTTCAGTCGTCTGCTTTCGCCTCCACTTTACGCCTATCCTCTCACCTCCTTTGCCCCCTCCGCTGGGCTCCTGACTCTTTCTTCAGCCTTTCTACTGCTACTCATTGGCTCCTTCTTACTGCTGCCTTTCAACCACACCCCTGATCTTCTTGTAGGAAAGATCTACTTCTAGCCGTCTCGAACAAGGGAGAAAAATCTCGGAGATCCCGTTTGTAAGTTGCGCACGTTAAAGATCCCTTGGTGATGTAAAATCGATAAGAGTATTTATTAACCCCTTCACTGCTACGGCGACGTAGGGCTTACGTCTCCTCTGTGTGCTTAGAGTGACTACATTTAACCCTTTTTCTGCCCGGCCCG